GAAACAAAAATTCATATACTTATAATACCTATAATGCTATATAGCTACAGAATTTCCCAATTACAGTTGGAAGTTTCAATAACTTTATGAGAATGAATACTAAAATAATTTAATGCAGAATCAATAAAGATATGGAAGAAATGTACATCAACCAATTTGCCCATCTAACATTAATGGAAAATTCCACCAGTCAATAGCAGAAAGCATATTGCCTGTAAATTCATATAGAGCATTTTCAACATGTAGAATATTTAGATTCAAAACAAGGCCACTATGAATTAATTAAAACTCAATACAAGAAGGATATGGGAAATGTGTCAATATTTGAATTTATTCAAAATGCTATCAGACATAGAAATGATATCACAGATTATAAAATAATTCTTCAAGAGAATAAAAGTGGCATTATATGCTAAAATGTAGACTGAACTAATGAAGTCACTACATAAAAATTTAATTTTTAAAAATATTTTCATTTGAAACATAAATATCCCTAATATCAGTCATCTATGCTTGCAGCTCAAAAATCTTGAAACAAAAGCAAATGCAACCAAAGTAAACAAAAGAGGGAATAATAAAGACTCTAAATCAATAAAACAGAAAACAAAAATAATTATTTTTTAAAAGCAATAAAATTCATAAGAACAAAAGAGAGATGACGTATGTCTAAGTTACTTTGCTCTCATCACTATGACAAAACACCCAGCACTCAAACTTAAAGCAGGAAAGATTTATTTGGCTAACAGTTCATGGAGGTTGCAGTCCATAGTTGACTGTCTCCAAAGTAGAGTGGCACACGGCAGAAAGGTGGTTTAGAGGAGAAACTCTTCACAACAGCCAGGGGGTAGCAAAGCATCAGGAATGTTAGCAGCATCTGCTGCTCCTTTTATCTCATCCATGCTATATAGGGTGGGTATCACTCATTCCATTAATCGATGCGCCCTTGAGTCTAGCACTGCACCATTGTCAGTCCTGGCCTCACACACCCTAGGTCTGGCCACCTCTGAAAAAGCTGCACCTATGACCACATGAGGCTGTGGGGGGACACCTGGACACGAATAATAATGACGCGCATTTCCTAAAATAGGAAGGAAATCAGAAATATCTTATAGCACTAAAGTACTTTTAAAATATCATAAAGAATATTATGAACAACTTTGTAAAAATAAGCTTGACAATTTAGAAGAAACACACAAAGCCTTAAGAAGGCAAAGAACAGAAAAATTTAAGAACATATGACAAATTGGCTAAATAACAAGAAGAGAAACTGAGTACTCATTAAACAATTGCTGATGATTAAAACCAAGAGTTTATATAGCGACACTGGTAAGTTCTCCTTACTATTTAAATAAGTATAATACCAATAATACATTTATTCTTTCCATAGAAGAGCGATATAAAACACTTTTCAAGTAATTTTATGAGAACACCATTTTTTACAGGGCAAAGCAAGGCAAATATAAGAAAATATAACCAATGCTACTAATTTAGGAGGACGATTCTATCCTAGAAAGTAGGAGTGAATGGATTTTAGATTAATATGAGTGATCTATTGGCATTGATCATGTTTACCAGAAGTATCTGATGTTATTTTTCCCTTTATTTCATCTATAAAACTGAAACATAAATATTGAACAGTAACAAAAATAAGTCATGATATGTATAAGTATTGTAATAGAGTTCATTATTGTGGGTGATAGATACTTTCTTAGGTTAATTTCATCACAATGAAATGATAATTTAGATTAAAAAAACTGTGACCACAGGCCCATAGAGAGGCATCTAGAATGAGCTTTGGAAGAAATGACCAGAGCTGGAGGTGAGTTGCTCTGCAAGACACAAAGAGGTTATCAGTGAAGGAAGAAAGCCACAGACACCAAGTAACATTGTGAGGAGCTGTAAGTGTGCCCCCAAAACTTGGGTGGTTGCCCCAGTACTGTTACCTGCAGCAAAAAAAGTGAGTGTTCCTTTTTCTTTCATGTCACCATGATAGTAAATTACATTACTAAAGAGGGATCCTACTGTATGTGCTTCCCATAGGGATTTTGCTAAAAACATCACTTCTTCACAATATCTAAAATAACTTGATTATGTCAACTTATTTATGATATTTTAATACGAGATTTCCAAAGTTGCTTTTAGTAGTTATAGACAACATACAAGTGTGTGTGTGTCTGATGCTAAACAGAAAGTCACCTCATAGCTTGCATTTAACACTGTCTATCATGTTTAAGTTTAAAGGAGTAAGGAAAATTTTTGACATTTCTGGATTCTCTGAGATGAGTGAAAAGAATAGTCACAGTCATATCAAAAGAAATATAATAGATATAACTGTATTTGTATACAATCTGTAGATTTTTGAAGAAAAGTTAAGAATTCCATTTTCTGAGCATCATCTTAGATTTAGTCATAGGTTGCAACAGTCACATTCATAATGCAGGGTGTCCTTTGGTTTGTCTAAGAATAATGCTAATGTGGGGGCGTGCAAATGCCGGAGTGACACAGGGACACTTGGTAGCTCTCCTGAGCTGCGATGGAACAGCTGAATGGTTACACTGTTTAGGACTTTCTGACTACTGTCTGAAGCAGTTCTGGAAGTGCTTTGTGGCTATTACTGTATCGTGGTTGTCTAAATATCCTAAATCAAAGTGTTTACTTTGATAATCATTTTGACTTTAGAGAAGAGTCAGAAGTAATAAGATCTGAGATACTGTGAATAAGGTGGATAATACCCACCATAACAATTTTAGCAGTCTGCCTTTTTACAGGACAGCACATGGCAGCAGCAATATTGACAACATCAATATAGATATATAGATAATATCTAGCTATCTAGCTATTTTCAAAAACTCACACTTCCCAGAGACAAGAAAGAGACTTTCAGAAGTATTTGAGAAAATGGCAAGAATGACCAAGTGAAGGGGGTTAACGACTATGTATCTTTTAATATAATATTTTTTAGTTTAATTTACACTTTCTGTGTGTGATTTGTTGGTCCCTTGTACTTTGATCATCACAGTAAATCTAGCTGTCTATTTCAGAGTAGATTTTAAGGTGAAGATGTAAGCTGACCAAAACTATAATCACAGAAGGTTAATTTGAGGTGGGCTTACCTCTTTCCATTTAGAAGATACTATCATAGACATGGGTAATTTTCTCTGGGGGTATATTTGAAAACATGTAATTTATTTTAGTTAATTTACTACATTTTAAATGACCACAAAAATAGACACATCCAATCTTTAATATCCACTATTATTTTGGAAATAATCTTGCTTTGTAATTGTGTTATTTTTTCACAAATTGACCCAGAATAAAAGTGACCAGTAAACATATTTAAGGTTTAAAAAAATGTTCATTTGCTTAGATAATAATTTTTTTGGTTTCGCATTTTTCCTATTTAACTTAATGTGTGAAAGTTAGATTTTCAATTATCATTGATTTTATTGATTATAAAAGTAACTTTTGTTTTGTTTTTAAGTATGCTTACTCATATTTATTCGACTTTATGCATTTTTTCTCCTGTCCAAATTCATGTAACTATGTTAGAGATTTTTTAATAGTAGAACTAATATACATGTTTATATGATTAGCATTATATATCAATATTAATTTGTTTACTTTTGTTATATGGAAGAAAATTAGCCATCATAAGAATTAATTTCATTTCAGTTTAGACTGTTGTTTTTCATTCCAGAAATTAATAATATAATTGATATAATAAAAAGATCAACTTTATCAACCCTAGTTGGAAGTGAAATATAAACGGAAAAACAGAACTAGAAAACTATTAACGAAAGATGCTAAGATTAGAAGGCCAGTAGACATTTCCATTTTCCCCTTTTCCAGATAGGCTCAATTTGCAAAATTAACAGAAAAAAATTATACTTCATCACCCTGGCTTCATAGCATCTACAGACCTGAAGGCTAGATTGAAATGCATCCGCACCCCTGGTCTCTTTGGTTAACAAAGTTTAACACTGTGCCTTGAATAGAACTTCTCACCCCAAGGGACACAGGTCGGTAAGCTGTTGGTTCGCTAGCTTTCTTTCTGTCTTACTATTATTTTTCTTAGACTAACATTTTATTTGCTTCCCAGTAACACAAAACTTGTACCCTTTCTCTAGATTGCAAGCAGATGACCAATTAGCTCACAACCAAGTGGATTCTGATGAATGATTCCGACGATAAAATGTATGACTTTCTTTTCTGACACAGTTTCAAGTATCAGGATAAGTGGATTAAAATGTTTTGCAAATTTAAGGGTTTTAAGTGCCGTCTACTTGCTTTATTAAAATAGACTTTTCTAAAAAAATTTCCAGCGGTACAAAATGTGAAACAGATAAAACTCTACGTGCTTCAACGCCCTACAAGCTGGCCACCTCCTGCATGCACAGAGGCCACAATTACTCCTGCCCATGTGTGTCTCCATTCAAAGGTAATGAACAGTGAGGGGAAACAAAAAGCAAACATAATTAACTTTAAAAAGCATTTCTGTCTGTTGTCTGAACTCATTTCAGTCTTCCCAAAACAGTATTGCTCCTTCATTTTCCTAATCACTTTCTAAAGTGACCAAACAATTATGCCTGAGGCAGAATCCAGAATAAAAAGAGCTTTGTTTATGCAGCAGGAAAACAGCTGAGCTCTGTGTTTTCTATTACAAAGGCCACAAATACAACAAAGAGCAGGTGAAGAATTTACGGCCACCTTCCCTGTAGTGTTTGAAATACTTACCCCGATTAATATGTTATGAACTTTTGAAACTTTTCTGTTCTGTCTCTCTTTTTTCTAAACTAAAAATGTGTTTACTTTTTTGAACATAACTATACTTGTTTTAATTTATGGTGTTACCCAGTTTCCCATGACTGTAACAAGTATTCAAACTAATCACATTGCAAGGAAAAAAAAAAAAAAAAAAGTTTTCTTTGGTCCCAGTTCCGGAACTCTCTGTTCATGATGCTCAGCAGCCCCGTGGAGACACTGGCCTAGAACAACAAACCCTGCTCCCTCTAAAGCCAGGACGTGGAGAGGGAGTTAAGGGCTCACCTACTTACCAGCTTTCAGAGCCACTGCAGACACTGGGCAGCTTCAGTCTGGGCCTGGTTAGGGTTTCTGCCTTCTCCAGATGGTGCCCGCCGGAAGACCAAGACTTCCATTCAGGAGCCTTTAGGGGAGACTTGTGTTTGGAGGAGACCAGCTGCTTCTGGTAGGTGTGGCTACTGCCCTTCTCGGGTCCCTCAGCCTTCCTCCGTCAAAGCATGAGGAAGCGGGGTGAGAGGGGCTCCGAGACCTCGGCTCTAGCTGAAGTCAGTATTGAGATGAAGCCAAGGAAATGTTTCTAGCCAGCCATTCAGCACAAAGCTACCACTACAGCAGAGGAGGATGCATGATAAATAGTCCTGAGCAGGTTGCCCACAGAGTTTTGGGGTGTACTTCCGCTTTTAGGTGTAAGCTGATTCCTAAAAGTAACCATTTCACTGAGTGGGTAACCTAGGCCAATCAGAGTCTTCATCTCTCTTTTAGGGAGAGCAAGAGATGGTGGGGGTTCTTGGGCACACACTAGATGAAGGTGATGGCTTTAGAAGGGGTAGAGGTCTCAAGTTGTGTGCAGAGAGCACATGGTAATTTTGCCACTGTCTGCCACACAGGCCTCACACTGAATTTCCTGCCCTTGCATTCCCCTCGGGTTCATTCCATCATCCTGCTGCTCCAGGACGGGGAGCAGGGAGTGAGGGCTGCTGGGCTGCTTCCTGCTGGTTGAGGGCACTGGAAAGGGCAGGTGACATAGATGGAAGGATGGTCCAGGTGGAGGGGTGCCCTCTGCAGCACATCCACATTTCCATAGCAACCACGTGGTCTGAAATGAGGTGAGAAAGGCCCTTAAGTACACAGAGGCCAAACAAGCACAATGAAAATAAAAATATTCTTGGTTCCAGGAAGGGAAGTAACCAGGCCCTTACTGGAAAAGGCCTGGTGCAATGTGCTCCCAGTGGGAGACTACGGGCTGCAGGCCTCCAAGAGGGAGCTTCCTACTGCAGGCTGGCAGCTGTGCTGCTGGCTGAGGGGCAGAGAACGCCTGCCCTCCACCTCTGAAAGGGTTCCTGCTCCCCAGTCTAACCCTGTAGGAGGGTCTTCACTGTCTCCACATGACCAAACCCCTGAACTGACATGAACGTGCTTTTTACTTGATCTCAACTTGATGATAATTCTTTAGCTTCTGCTGAAGTATTTATCCCCAAACAATGAATTGGTACTTTGGTTATAAAAATCCATTCCCATAACCTACTGTAAAAGAGAGGAGATATAAAGCAACTCATTTGATACCTCCCTAAATTTTAGTTTCTTATTTTTAAACTGTGAAATTTGAAGACTTCAAATAAATACTATGGACTCAGATATTTTTAAACGATGGAGATATTTATTTTAGTAAGTAGCTTTTTAAAATTAGGCATGGAAATATTAAAACTACATATCTCTGTTCAAATATTGAAGCAAGATATATTTTTTTCTGTCTATCAGATACAAGTAAGACTGTAACTGCTGGGTGTGGTGGTATATACCTATTATCCTGGCACTCTGGAAGGTTGTAGCAGGAGGATTCCAAATTTGAGCCCTATTTGGCAAATATAGATCCTGTCTTCAAATAAAGCTTAAAAAGAGTTAGGAATATATCTCAATATAAGAGTTCTGAGTTCAATTTTCCAGTATAAAATGACACCAAAAAAGTATATATTGGCCCCATTTATATATACATAGATTGAATGAGATATGCTATAAAAATACCTCATTGCTACCTACAGCTAATAATCTTGTGCATCACTATAATTAAAAAAAACTATCATAGATATGCGATGTCCACATAACGAAAATTTTTTTCTTCATTTTGGGTATGTAGGATCTAAATATACATTAATTCATATTACATCTTTAAAACACATAGGGAATGATCTAAATAACTCCAGTAATAAAAACTATAATTTATTTTGAGCATAATTTTTTTCAGAACGGAGATGTCGGTTTCTCGCACCATTCACCAGTGAGGGGAAGTAAGGGTCAGCGGGAGGTGACTCCAGGCCAAGGACAGTGGTACATGGAGATGGACGTGAGTGACCCTGAGAGCCAGGAAACAAGGAAGTGAGCAAAACGCAAAACCACAAGAGCGTGTTCAACACACAGGAGCCAACTGAAGGCCCAAGCACAATGCTGGAATAATTAGAGCCCCAATGTAAGGGAGTGCCGATGGCTGCACAATGCTTTAATACTTTGAGTTCATACTGATAAAAGGAAATGATTGAATAAACAAATAGTGAATAAGATTCTATTATGCAGAATATCAAATCATAATTCATGCAGATGCTTTGCAGTTAAGGAGGCAGAACACAGCTCTTGATCCTTTAAATCAGATTTTTTGGTAAATTAATTTTACTGGTACACATTTATTAAACATAATGCTCATGTTCATCATATGCAATTTCCACCTGTACATGGTTTATCTGAATTCTTATTTAATTCCCCATTCCTCTCCTCTCCCTTCAACCCTTCTTCCCCTTCTCCTTTACAGTAGCTTAGTTTCAATTTTTTTCCTTGTATTCTCTATTGTTTCCTTTTCTCTTCTTTCCCCTTGTCCCTCGTGGTTCCCCTTTCTATTTGGACATTCCCTTCCTACTTCCCAAGCTCTATCAACCATTTTTTTTCTTTTTTTTTTTACATTTTTAGTTTTTCACACGAAAGAAAAATTATAAGATTTAAACATTTATTTCACTTAAAACTATGGTCTCGGTGCACCCTTTTAAGTAAAATTGTCTCCATTCTATCCTTTTCTATGGCTGAGTAGTACTCCATTGTATATTAAAACCACATTTTCTTTATCATTCATCTACTGATGGGCATCTAAGCTATTTCTGAGATTTAGCTGTGTATCTTTGGTATGATGCTGTTTTTAACTCTTTTGGAAGGATACCAAGAAAAGAAATAGCTGAGTCAAATGGAATCTCTAGTTTTAGTTTTTTGGGGAATCTCTACACTGATTTCCATCTAATTTGGATAGCATGTTGAGACTATCTTCCAAAGTGTATGATATGGGAAGCATATGCATAGAACGAGAAGTGACCTCACAGTGAAGAAGTGTGGTACTAGATACCTCAAACAAATGATCGTGGTTAATATCAAGATTGTAAATCATGTTACTAACATGCATGAGCTGATAATAATCATACTTTCTGTTCTGTGGTCTCTCTTAAAATGTGGCATACTATTTTGATCATCATAAAATTCACAATTGAGAGGAATTCTGGAAAACACCAAGACTAGGATGCCTCAATTTTTCAGGTACAAGGGAAGTCTTGGAACCCATCAGAACTAAAAAGACCAAAAGGAAACAACTACTGCAGGTAAGTGACCTTTTGGAAAGGAAATATTTTTTCTCCAAACAGAAAAATCATGTTATCTTGAAACTAAATAAATACAAAGAAAGTAAGAATTTTTGCTTAAAATAATGTGTCAATCTGGGTTCATTAGTTCTGTCTAACATAGCACAGAAACACTAGGGGTAAGCGGTGAAGAAAACTGTCTGTAGTGTACAGAACACCTACACAGCATTTTTTCACCTGAGTTATAAACCAGAAAGTACCACAAAATTCTAAGTTCAGTACAAATAAGTGATCTCCAATAAATACTTTTACTCAAAATCGGTTATACTTAAAGAAAAACAAACATATAAGATAAACATTAATTTTGCATAAGCATAATTGTTTTTAATTCATATACTGAATATTATAATTTAAAATTATAATAAAGAGAAAAAGAACTTTTAGTTGTTGCTGCTGCCTTAGATTTAAGAAAGACAGTAAATATTCAGAAGGATTGCAAATAATTAAAATGAAAGAAAAAAAACAAGCTGTTATAAAATGCATATATCTAATAATATATAATTTTGCTATCATGTAATAACATTTATACATTAGACCATTCTATATAGAAACACAATCTTGGAAATTCCTAATTCATTGTATGTTTTCATACTGTTTGGAGTTAGAGAACTTGACTATCCTTACAGAACTGGTTAGTAAGGGACAGTACCTGCGGGTCGGTCTCTCCGTCTATTTGTCTGCTGGGCCACACTGACGCCCTGGAAATGGCCCGGTACTCAGGACCTGCGCTGTCCATGGATTGACTTGCGGACCACGGCGGCCACGCTGTGACACAGGGCCTGGGTCCCCACAGGCAGGAGTGTAGAGGGCTTGCTGTTTATGGGCGCCCCGAGCCGGCTCCAAGATGGAACTCAGTGTGGGGACCTTGCAAAGACTAACCATAGAAATAACACTTGTCTGAGCCATGAGTGTATCATTCTTGGGCACATTCTGGAAAGAATTAAGGACCGCGTGCTATTGGGGTGCATGCAGAGCCAGGGTTAGGGCATCATGATTCACAGTGGCTAATCTGTGGGAACACCCTAGAGGCTGATGGAAGCAAATGCACAGGAAGGTGAGGCATATATATATATATATATATATATGCACATACATTTGCATAAAGGTCCATGACTTAGCTCCAGAGAAAAATGGCTTTCAGCGGGAAATGGATGGAACTAAGAACCACCAGGTCACGTCCAACTGGCCAGACCCAGAAAGTCAAATATCACCTTTTCGGGGCTGGGGATTTAGCTCAGGCACATAAGCGCCTGCCTTGCAAGCAGGCAGTCGTGAGTTCGATCCCCAGTACCGATAAAAAGGAAAAAGACAAACAAACAAACAATATATATATATATATATATATATATATATATATATATATTCTCTTTTCTCTCCTACGTGAGAAAATTTAAAAATACATGAATTAGTAAATACTTAAACTTTCAGTGAGACACTAGGAAGCCAAGAGTCAGGCTGCGGTAGAAAGGGAGGAGCGGGTGGAACAGGAGGGGTGAGGTGGGAGGGGTCTTAGGTTGGAAACTGATTAATAGATGACAATGCAGGCAGCAACCCTGGCAGAAACTCGGCATCCTGTGATGTTAACATTCTCTATCATGACGGAGGAAACAGTCCTTTAAAATCCTTAATGACTTTTATAATAAGAGTTGAAGCTTGGAAACATAACATGTATTTCTTTCAAAGGGAAATGATTTCAATATCATTATTATTTTCTTACTATGCACCAAATTTGACTTCAGCACTGAGCACAGAAGTTCACTGTGTGTATCTACTAGGTGTGTACTATGCATATTTGCTATGGTATAATCAGTTATTACTTTATTGTTACTGTTATTATTTACATGATAAGAAACATCAGGATTTTTTTTTCTAGGAAAGCAAGATATCAAGCAACAAGAGCAAAGAACAACTGGGAGAGGGGAAAAGACAAAAGGGAGAAGAGTTTATGTGTATAGGTATACTTACATATGTACATATACATACAAAATAGATAACTATACTACCACTTTCTGTAAGTTCATAAAAAAAAAAAAAAAACAGTTTGTGCTTTCATTGTTTGACTGACCATATTTTAATCTTGTAACAACAGGAACAACTACTTGTAAGATAATGATATGCAATATATTAATTATTGTAATTTCCCACTATTCCTTGAAATTCTGTATCATTTGTTTTTTGTTTTGTTTTTAAAATAAGGAAAGATAATTGAGGACACACATATTGTACACGTTGGCACCCACAATTTCACATTGTAGTTAAAAGTACGAAGTAATCCCACATGGTTATATTGTCATTAATTCACATATTCCATAACTAATCACTATTAATTTAGGCACCTTTAATTAATTGCTTCCTGGCTGTACATTCCCTTACCTGAAATGTGATAGTAATTCCTCTCCCTTTGCAAAAAAACATACTAAATACGGGGTTTAATGTGATATATTTGAATACATAATGCTTTAACGTATATATTTCCTTTCTACATATGGACTGAAGAGAAAATTGTTGAGTAAATAAACATAACTGTGGTTAAGTGTAAAACTTATCTTCTCCTCAGTTTTAAATAAAATTGTGTACGTCAACATATTCCACAAATGTTAGTTTTGGCTATAAATTGTGTCATGTACATGTCAATTCCCTACAATGACTATAATAATTGTGTATTTTAAACATGTACTAATAACAGAAAACAAAAATGTAAATAAGTATAAGCATAATATATCCCTTCCCTAGTGAACAACTTTAAATTCTAGAATTAATGCCCATGAAACACAATGTAAATCAAAAGAAAAGATCACAAAAACCACCGGTAATGCAAACATTGCTGCTGATTGAATGCCCACAGGTCTCCTTTACAATGAAAGTATTAAGCCACAGAGTCAATCATCTATTTAAAAGTTGGAGAATTTCTTTCATTGGAGGAAAAGATCATAAAATAAAGCAACTCTCAAATGTCCTATTATGTCAGTGATATTATGATCCACATAAGGTTAACGCTATTAATTGCAGAAAACTCTGATTTAATACTATTATTTCATTTATTTACTTACTGTTTTCACAGTACTGGCAATTGAATGCAGGGCCTTCACATCAAATTACAACCTGAACCAATTTTTATTTTGAAACATGGCCTCCATAAGTTTGTGTCACCCTGGCTAGACTTTTCACTTGTGATCATCTTTACTCGACCTCCCAAAATTGTAACTTAGACAGCAGATTTAAGGATAGATTCTTAAGTGCTCATGAAGTAAAAAACACTGGTCCACAGAATGCACAGTTAGTTTTTCAGCCTTAACGGGGCCATCCTGCAGCCACAGTGATTACCGCACTGAGCCACGGCTGAGCTCTGCAGATGCTCGCTCTCCAGTCGACTGTTCCAGGCTTGTCTTAAACATTCTTGGGAGAATGTGTTGCAACTGATTTTGGAAAATAGTCTCTGATATTTTAAAGTATCTTAATGTCTACTACACATCAATTAGATATATTAACAAAGAGTTAACTTGCTATAGTTGCTTTAATAAAACTGGCAACATGACTCCGGTCTTGGAAGATTGGCCCAGTAAGTGAATGAATTATAGCGTGCTTGGTGTGTATGAAGTTATTGGTGCAGTGGGAAAATATTTGTTTACTATTGGATGTTGATGACATTTGTCTCTTGTGCCTCCTCAGCAGCTGTTGAAACAGTGAACAGAATACAAAGGTCTGACTAGTGCCTTGTGCTGCTCCTCTTCATGTTTAAAATACAGTATTTCACTTGAAACACTGACTGGCAAAGGCATACATAAAGGGGATCTGAGTGGGAAACTGCAATATTTCTTTACCCCATTTTTAAGTAGAATTCTTTGTATTTTGGTATTCTTTACACTATTTCTTTTAAATTCAAAATTCATATTATACTTGAATATGTGTTTAATTCTATGATTTTATTATGTTCCTCTTTTAATGGATCACATTTATCTATGAATTTGACATTCCTTTCTTCTTCATAACCTACTGACTACTCCATTTCTATGAGTAATTGTACTTGAGCACATTTTCTGTAAAAGTAGCGTATCAAGTGAAAATGAAATTGTCACTATCACATGAATGTATCAAACTGAACATGTTATACAATGTAATGAACAAGCCATTCAACAGCCAGTTCCTTGTCTGTAAGCCAGTAAGTACAGTTATAGGTTGACACATCTGACAGATTCTGAGAAGTGCCTAATGATAACCTGCACTTTACACTAATTGGTTTTGATTTGCATTACTAACAAGAAATAAGCTACTCTTGGGACACTAACAATGAAGAAAAATTATAATTAAGTTGAATATTACAGAGAACTTTACTGCAATGAGTTCAAATAATCTGACCTCTGAAAATCTGAAAGGCATGAAAGTTAGTTTTGTAAATGCTTATCTTTTTAAAAAATTTCCATGGTACTATTCATCCTTAAATTTAATTACTATTCGATATGATATATATATATATATATATATATATCTTCTCACTATTACTTTTCCAGTTGATCAAATGTATCAACTATGTGTTTGACAGCATGTAAAAAATGAACTTTCCCCATTGTAAGTATACATTGATGATTCCTAAAATGTCAGGCATATCTTAGATCTGTCACTTTTTAGGAGAAAGTTGAAAATGAATTTAAAAAAATAAAATAAGGAACAAGGACAATATAAACAATGATAATTTTTAAAACTGTGATCAGTGTTCTCCGAGATTACCCTATGAGCATGAGGCCAGAGTGCACACCAAGTGCAAGGGAGAAGGATCATTTAAAAACAACTAGGGGTAGCAGGAAGTTATTAATCAAAAAAATTAAATGTAGAATTTGCCTTCTTATTTTACAGAAGCCTAGTATGCTAGGAATTGAGAAATTTTTTCTTATCTGTACTGTATTTCTTTTTTTTTTTCTTTTAAACAAGATTGCATCCTGGGATTAAACATTTAAGTGCTCTCAAAATTAATTAGCGATCTATGGTGCAGGCATGCAAATCAGCACGGCATTGAGGGATGTGTGAAAGACCAGATAGCTAGGATGCTGTGGTACCCAGATACACAGATGAACGTGGTATTCACAATTCTAGGATGAATAGAAAGATGCTGTTGCATGGACACAGGAGTAGAAAAGGAAGTTCAGTGAAGAGGGACATGAGCAGAGTGGCAGCAGACTGAGTTTGTTGGATTAAGTGACTGAAGCCACACTTTCCCTTAAGAAATAGTACCTTCA